CCAGCTTAACCAGGCTGGTCAAGCTGGCTTTAACTGGATTTACCTGGTCATTTTCCAGCCTGACCAGCTGGAAATAGCAAGAAACTAGCCTGGAAATGGCCAAAACCCCTCTAAAACCAGCCTGGTCGACCAGCTAAAACCAGCCAACCAGCCTAGGCTGGTTTAAGCTGGATTTTTCAGAAGGGGTAAACTAATAATGAGATTAGCTGCTCTTCAGAGGACTTTCTGAACTGATTTCTTTACTAACCAGAACCACACTAGCCTTCCTTATATGCTAAAAATGCTACAAACTGAAATATTGCTATGGATTTCATCGTTTTCCTTTATAAAATTAGCACACTTTTCTTCAATATTGCACAGCCCTATTGTAATGCATTGTACATCTGATTTTCTGGAGCACAGTTGACATCAACACAAATATTTACTTCAATGTCCTCCTGCAGTTCTTGGGTCTGCCGTCTCTTATATTTGTATTTCTCCTCGGCTGCTCGCCTCTGCTCCTCCAGCTTCAGCTTCTCCTGGTGTGCAGGACCTAAAAATCCATACCAAAATGTGATTATATACTGTTTTATTAGACATTTTTGTATACATTGGGATACTTCACCCAATAAATCTGTCATCATTCACTCACCCTGTACTTGTCACACACCTTCTGTTGAACACAAAAGAAGATATTGTGAAGAATGTTGAAGACCAGTAACCATTGAGTTCCACAGTATTTGTTTTTCCTACTATGGAAGTCAATAGTTACAAGTTCACGACATTCTTCAAAATAACTTATTTTGTGTTCAGCAGAAAAAAAGAAACTTGTAAAGGTTTAGAACCACTAGGGTGAGTAAATTGTGAATAAAATTTCATTTTTAGATGATCTATCCCCTTGATTTTGTTGTAAAATGCAATATGTCATATGTTGTTTCTACGCCAAATGAAATCTTTACAATAGCTCTACTACAAACAAGTAACATCCTACCAGACCACTTTAAATTGAGATCTGTTGGAATGTTTTGACATAAATAAAAAGGTTTTAAGGCTGAAAATGCCTTACAGTGTTTGAAGCTGGCTATAAAATAATTTGAATGTGAATGATGTGAATGTAGTTACTGGATTCGGTGACTTTGGTCAGGGCTTTGCGGTGGGTTGAATTGCAGTTGTTGACAACTTGAAGCGTGTTCTCCAGAGCATGGATCTCTTTCTCTGTTTTTCGGATTTTGGCATCTAACTCGTCCCCCTTACGCTGCAGTTCTTCTTTCTCTTGAGCTGCCTTTAGAAGAAGTTCAGGATTTAGAAGACGTTGTAACGTACAGTATATAGAGCTGTCATGTATATTATATATACAGTAGATGGGAAAGCTGTTATTCTTCGATTGAGAAATACGCCATTTGGTTGTAATGTTTTTAAAAGGTGTCCCTTATGCTCAGCATTGCTGGATTAGTTTGAATAAAAAATACTGTTGATACTCAAAAATAATTTTTTAATGATTATCAATAAATGATATAAGCTGTGTTTCAAGATTTTCTGATTGATTAAACGATTAACTGTGATTAACACTGTGATTTGTAATCAATTAAATCCATGGTTACTGAGTAAGAGGCTGATTTTCGCAATTTTCAGTTATGAAACCCGAGGCCAGCCCTGACGCCAGGATGTCATAACTGAGGGAGCATTTTAATCCCATAGGGGGGCACTAAACTTGGTGACTGATTTTGGTCCCCCTTGTTCCTTTCATTTAGGCTATTTATTTATTTAGGATATTATTTGTAGTGTTTTGTCAATTTTAACGTAATTTTAATAATATTAATAATAATACTAATGTATATAATTTATATAATTTAAATAATATAATATAATAAATTAAAATATTGATATTAGTGTAGACTACTGTGAGACTGTGCAGTGAACTGAACATTTTTATTAGGCTACATATCCCCTAACTGAATAACTAGTGTGAAAATGACTGGCAGTTGCGTTTTTGCTGAAATTAATTTAACAGCAAATTTCTTCTGCGTTTTATTTCTTTTAGGGCTTAAGAGAGTTGTAATTAAAGAATTACTTAATAAGTTTTATCCACTAGTACAGTGTTCTCCTGTGTGAGTTTAGAGTGCGCCTCCGCCCTGGACTATTGCTTTAATTTCAAAATTTTTATAATTTATTGCTTTTTCATAATATAAAATATCTAAATGTGTTCTGAAGGTTGGAATGATGGGAGTGTTGGTAATTAATGACCAAAGAATTTTCAGTTTTGAGTGAACAATCCTTTATGAAAACTGGGGTCACACATTCTTTCTGAGGGGGCAAATGAGGGGCGCACCACAGCACACTGCCGTTTTGTTTGACTTTAGACTGTATCAATGTTCTTGGTGCTGGAGTGCATGACATCGGGGACGTTTTCCGCACAGTGTTGACATTTTTTAACAGCAGGCACACAGAATGCTGTGTAAAAAATGCAAGGTGCACCAGGCTGTTAGGCTGCAGCAACCTTC